AAATTTTTTATTACTAATAGAAATTTACTTTTATTTTATTTTATATATATTATACTGTCCAATTGAAGATAAAAATCAAGAATCAATTAAAATTATAAATTAAAATAATTAAAAAATTATTAACTAAAATTATATTGAATCTACTTTCAAGAAAAACAAATCTTGACTTGAAATCTCAGATTTAAAATTTATATGAGAAAATTAGTCGAAATTTGGAATAAAATTCCCTTGTTTCAAATTTTGTATTTGGGAAAATCGAATTTAAAAAGATATACATATATACCGGACCAATTTAACTTATTTAAATTTTATTTTATTTTATAAAAATCTTTTTCTACATTTTCAATTTATTTTTACATCCTATTAACTGTTTATTATTATTAGAAATTAAACAGATTCATACACAAAATTAACAAGATTTTAAACGAAATTTTTCCCCTTAGTTTTGATTTCCTACTATTTCAAGCTATTGAATCTCTATTTTCAAGTATATGAATTTAAGACCCAGTATTTATATACATACATTATTAAATAAATTATAAGAATATCGTTTACTAAAAATTATTGTAAATTTTTAATTTACACGCTTTTTCCAATTTTGGCTTGTAACATTTTGTTTTTTAATAAATAAAAAGAAATGCTAGATCTCATTTCTCATTATAGGTAGGTAATCGGAAGAACACAAATGCAGCCAAAGAAAACGAAAAGAAAGGAGAAATATAACGAAATAACTAAAAACAGCTAAACTAGAAACTTACTAAAATCACTAAATAAATTAATTTAATCATAAATTTATTGTTAGAAATTATTTAATTTTTACTCTCTTCTTGAAATCTAATATATCGATACGCTAAATAAATTTATGTAAAAGTAATTTGAACACAAAAAGTAAATAAATATTTTTATTTTTGTTATAAGGTCAACGATCTAACAAAGAAAATCATAAAAATGCGTGATGATGCTTAAATTAAGTTTATAATTTGGTGTTATTTTGATCAACTGAATTCAATGAATGCGAAAAAACTGCGAAGAGTAAATTATAAATTGAGTTTTTTTCGATTCGGTTTAACTCGGTTTGATTCGGGAGTGCACAGCTTAATAGCAGATAGTGACTAATCAGTATAGACGGGTATAGAAGAATATTACTTACTAGTATTAGTTGGCGTCTTTTACAAGATAAAAATATATTCGTTTCAATAAAAATTTAAATAATCGATACGTTTTCAATGACTTAAAGAATGCTGCGTCGTATGAAATTAATTGTGTGTTTTTGCGTCCTTTTGTGCGCATTAGACAATAAAGCTGATGACAATCAAGTTTTATTAACCAAACTTGGTACAAAAACAGGACCGACTTTAAAATTTTTCTATTGGTGAGATTTATAATTCTACTTTTTTTATTTGACATATCTTAATATATATAATTTTTATTATTTGGTTGTTTATAATTCTATCAGTGAATTAATGTTTCTTGTCTGTTTCTTTTTTCAGTTACTCATGTGGATACAGGAAAGTTTTTGAGGAATATGTCAGTATCCTTCAGCAAAAATATCCAGAATTACAAATTAATGGAGAAAACTATATTCCCTCTAATAATAAAATGCTCATTGCTAAATTACTGGTAATTACATTTTTTTATAGTAATAATTATTAATTATTAATACTTTTTTCTTTATTTAGAGTTTTGCAAAAATTTCACTAATAGTTTTAATAATAAGTGGACTTGATTTTGGACAACCACCAACATCACTGTGGCAATGGTGTCTAGATAATCGATTTTATTCTTGTATAATGATATTTTTTATTTTTAACGCTATAGAAGGACATTTCATATCATCGGGAGCTTTTGAAATTCATTTCAATGGTAAACAATATTTTATAAATTATAATTAAGTATATAAGTATGTAGTGCTTTTAAATATATTTTTAGGTTTTATATTATTTATTTATGTTCTAGATGTTCCTGTATGGTCCAAATTAGAAACTGGCAGAATACCCCAACCATTAGAACTATTCCAAATAATAGATAATCATTTAAATATGCAATATGCAGATGTAGATATAGAATAGATTAATTTTAATAAGAAATCTAATGTTTTTTATTTGTACCAAATGTTAAAATTGAAGTTACAGAGCTTTCGTTGCTGCAACTCTATAATTATTAAGAACAATTGCTATCTCAATCTATGCGAGACAATACATTTAAAGCAGATAGAGTTTGCACGAGGGAAGCAAAAATAAATCCTTTTAATATTGCTCAAAACAATTTTTCATTTTCCATCTTAATTTAGAAATTAGAAAATTAAATGTTATTCAATAATATTTAAAAATTTTGTTAATTATGATATATATAAAATTTTTATTTAAAAATATAAAATATTTTAAATTTGTTTAGTCGTCATTATTTTTACAATTAATTTCATACTCTATTACAAATAGAAATAGGTTTTTTTGAAACAAAGATAATACTTTGATAACCAAATATAGAATATGTAGAAATTAAATATTTTTGTTATAAATAATATTAAATTTTTATTAAATCGTGGAATTTACATTCTTGGAAAACTTTATATATTAATACTATAAATTGAAATAAAACAAATGTATAAAAATGTAATTATTATTTCATTAATGAAAATAAATATAATGGACACAAATAGAAAGATTGTATTATAAATTATGTATATGTATAATATAACAATATATTACAGATATAACAAAATATTATACTAATTTTATTCATAATATTTTGATCAATTAATTATTTAAACCAACCTAGTTTAGTTAAACAAAATAGTTAACAACTATTAATAATAATAATATTATATTTATAATATTATAAATTATTTTACAATGATATAATTACATAATGTTATATTTTACATTAAGTAAAATTAACGAAGATTTTATTTTATTTCAAAGATTTTATATTTTTGAGAAAGGTTATTTTATTATAGAAATTATAAAAGTATTTAAAATAATATGATCATAATAATAATATGTTCGTAATAAATCTACCATAAAAAATATTACAAATAATATATAAATTTTAAACAGTTCTTTCTTTCGAAGTCATTGAACAATCCTTTTGTTTCATACATAAATTCATAACGACGGGAAAATTACATATTTAAAATACAATTTTATATACAGTAATTGTTCGATTTAAAAAATATATATTGTTACATTCGAATTATTTCATTCTTATTTGCAGTAAAAATTTAAAATCGTTTCAATATGTAGGTGTTATTGAAAATACTTAAATGTTGCGCTCTTTTGAAAGAAAGAGAGAGAAACTATGATTTTAGAGAAGGATTATTAAAGGTAGCATAATTCTCCTTCCTTTTCCTCCTTACTCCTTACTAATAATTTATATAGTAGTTAGTTTTATAATACGATCATGTATTCTTAGACTTGTAGATTTGACAAAAGCTCAAGGCTATTAACAAATTCAGTGTACTTCTCAATCATGAAAGATTTTTCATAAGGAAACAAAGGGATCATAGCCAAGTCTGACATACGCGTGCTTCATGATAAGAAACGATAGATGTCCGATGGTCAGTCGAAAAAATTGCAATTTATTTGTTGTTAGTGATATTGTTGAAAAATCAAGGTTTACGAAATTAAATCAGGGTGTAATTTGTAACTCGGTTTCGACACGGTAGTGCAAATAAAAACTAAAAGTCAGAGATATCCGAATTCGTCCCTGTACCTCAGTACCTCAGTACCTCGTATTTTTGCTACCTGTATTTTCAATTGAACAAAGCCTGTATTTTAATAGTTTTCTTATTCTACCAGTTCGTCTTTACGAGTGAAGAAGTCGATTGTATATTTTGCGCTAACAGCGCGATAAAACGTGAAACGAAAATCGGAGCGGCAGAGTTTAAATGAAAGCTCAAATGCGGCATCTTCTCAGTTCTTGTGCTAAAAAACATAGTTTACTACTATTAAACTATCGAATAACAGCGGCAGAGGAAAGTGCAATATACGTTTGTTTTGTGCTAAGAATCGTTTGTTGATTTGCTTCATGAATTACATTGTTGTACATTTTCAATGTATCTCGAGTCCCTGAAGAGAATCTGTCTTTAGACAGATGTATCAAGAACTTAGTCTGGATGATCATGGATGTTGACTACACAGTAGTCAGTTTAAAACGATCCAGTAGTGCACCCATGATCAATAAGATCACTGCAACAATGTCTGTAACATCACCTTCGGCTTCTGCGCCCAGGTATTTTATGTTAGGTTTATAATTAATTCAAGTGTTAAGTTTAACTATAATTAATTAATTGGTGTATCGTTACAATCTAATAATTCAACTTTGCAGGGATGTTCCATCAAATTTTAACATATTTTCAAATTCACCTTGTACAAGACGCTTCAGCACAAGTGTAAGAACAAATTTTTTTTTGTAAATACGCAGTGTCAATGTCTATTGCATGCTATATTCAAAATTGAACATAAATGTAATGATTGTATATAATTAGAATTTTATACCATTGATTCTAGCTTCAATTATGAAATATCTTTTGTTTTAGAATTCTGGAACTGTTCCTAGGCTAACACCACGTGTAAGTCAATTGAGGCAAGAAGAATGTATCGATGTTGCTGGTCGTGAAGCAGCACATGAGAAAGAAATACACAGTGCCATGCAGATCTCTCAGTCTTGGGAAGACCTCACCATAGAAGCAGAAGGATTATCCTTCAAAGATTCAGAATCAACTTCATTGCAATTTAAAATAGAATCGCAGCCAATTGCTAAACGAATTCTTGATCCACTAAATATTAACTTGTCTGTAAGTGGTCCAACTACATATTCCTCACCATCACCAACAAGAACTGGTTTTGGTCAGAGACAATGCTATTCACCTGGTGTTCATGCAGCTACATGGAAAAGTAATTTATCACCTAGTCCTACTAGAAAAGCATTTGCAACAAGGTTATTTCTTGTCATGTCTATTATATTTTTATATGGCAAGATACAGTTTATCAATACAGTTTTACTAATTAACAATTTGTATATTTAGGCGGAGCCTAAGTCCTATCGCGATACGACCAAGTTGTTTGGCATCGGTTAAAAGAAAATTTGAATTGGACGACTCTGGAATGGATCAATTACAACCTCCTGTAAAACGTATTTCTGGTTTACTAACTTCAGCCGCATCTAGGTAATTTTATTACTTCTTTATTACAAAAATATTAAATCAATACTACGGAATCATTACAATGCTTTGTCTTTTTCTTTCAATGCAGATTGGATGTGGCAATATCTAGTCTACATCCAACTATTAGTTCAGTTGGAACTCCAGAATCTTGTTCCAGTCTTGACACCCTTGGCTTTTCTTTTCGACCTGTGCATAGTCCATCCCCTGGTCTAAGTGCTCCTTCAGTTGTTAACGATGATCCATCTTCATCTTCATCTTCATCTTCATCTTCATCTTCATCTTCATCTTCATCTTCGTCTTCGTCTTCGTCTTCGTCTTCGTCTTCGTCTTCGTCTTCGTCTT